GGCTTACCACGCGAGTGCTTTGCTCTGTCGGCTACTGTGACTGCTGGAGCGTCGCGAGCAAAAAGGCACACTAATGCTTTTCACGGGGCATGAATTGGCAGACTACCTCATCAACTGGTATGATGCTACTAGTATTTATACTAGTAGATGCTGATGCATAGCCTGACAATTGACATCTCGTAGCGATGTCCTGCAGCGATTGGGCACGTTCAGAAGGAGCAATAGCTCAGTAACTGTTGCGATTGAACCTTCTGAACGCGTTGTTGTGGACTTCTGATCAACTAAACAGTTGCGTGTTAGATGATCGTAATATTTTTCTGATTATTTGAGACAACATGTTGGTTGAATTTGACAGCTAATGTATCAAGCCGTTCAGAAGACGCATAACGATCATTGATTTTGTTAGCAATGGTTGGGCTCAACTGCTGCGCCTTTCGATGTATACTTAAGATGTATAAACCTAAAGGTAAATTTTATAAGAAATTAACTAAAAAATTGATTAAAGCTAGTAACCCCCGAAATTCGGGGGATCCAGTATGAAAATACGATGCCGTGCAATAAAGTCATAGGAAATAACGCCATATTGCTTTATTTCTCTTCACATGGAGAAATAAGGCCATATGGCTTTATTTCCGTTGGGAAAGTGAAATAAAGCCATAAACAAAAATTTTACGTATGAGAAATAAAGCCATACGATCTTATTTCAATACAAGAAGTAAATGTTGTCTCTTTAGAAGCGGGCCGCGAGGCGCGATCGCGGCGCGTCCGGACGCGTGGCTTGGAGCGTGGAGCGCGAGCACGGCGCGGGGTGGCAAGCCAACGCGGACCGCCGCTAAAGAGACAACATTTACTTTTTGTATTGAAATAAGATCGTATGGCTTTATATCTCATATGTTAAATTTTTGTTGATGGCTTTATTTCACTTTCCCAATGGAAATAAAGCCATATGTACATATATGTATAAAATTGTGGCTCTTTTCATTATTCTTGCTTTTGATTATATGTACATATGTACATATTTGGGGTTATAAACCGCGTATCAACAAAATGCAAAACCGCGTATGTGAGGTTGCATAAATTATTTTGAGAAGAGAAAAACCATAATATAAAATTGTCCTCTCTTTTATAAAGCAATCGCATATCTGGCTAGTATATTTCAGCACGAGTGGATAAGGCTTGGGCTAAGAGCTTCGGTGAGGAAATCCATTTTTTTGCAAAAAATTTCAGTAACGCGGTTTTGTACTTTAAACGACGATATATGTTTATGAGGTTGAGTACTTTTCGTTTTTGTCATTAAGGGCCAAGTTCACAGTGCGTTGTTAACCACTGACAAAAGTTTAACTATTGATTTTAATATACACAACGGTCAGTTAACAAAAGTTTAAACCAGCATGCCCCCATAGTTAAACTCTTGTGAAATTGAATTTTTTTTTTTATCTTAATTTGTGTTCGAAAAATATCTTGATAGGGAACGAACTGCTTTACACTGTCAAGGAAAAAAATTGCCAAAATTCAACGCAATTTTTAGCAACTTCAATCTTGCACTTTATTATACTAAAAATAAATTTTTTTAGATTATAATTAAAAAGTTTGCAATTTAGGTGAAACCTTTTTAATTTTTGTACAAAGTTTGATCAAAACCCAGAGATCGATCTACCACATTTTTGTGAAACCTACCGCATTTTCCAAAGATTCTACCACACAGAATTTTTGTAAAGTCTGTTCAAATATTAAAACATACCCATATCCCCCATGTGCCTTTAAGTATTTCATTTTATTTCCTTGAACATATTGATTATTTATTCTCTTTGAACACAAAACGTGCTTTCAGAAGCTATTTTTTCTATTTACCTTAGTTAATCCTCTATGAGTTCGGCGAGAGATTTGCAATTTCCATGTTTTGTTTTGAACTGTGGCTTGTTTTCCCGTACAGTGTTGGTCACAATATTACGAATTGTGAGCAAGCGATTAACATTTACAGCAAATAAACTGTTGAGACTGTCCACAGCTTTTGGAATCTATTTTAATGTTCCACGGAGGTGTCTTCGTGCTTCAAATCAAATTATGTCGACCTCGATGCCGAACAGCATTTACTAACCTCTTAAATAAAAAAAAAATACCCTAGTTTAAGAATTATTGTTATATATTCTGTAAAATTATTGTTTCACAGACTAATTGAATAAACAAATAAAGAATTTAAGTTTTAATATACATACATACATACATACATACTATAGATCATTGCCTATTGTTACTACGAATGATACCCAGTGCCATGAAAACTTGTGAATTTGCGTCTTCCCAAAATTTACTCGAACAGTTCAGGTTTGAATTTTTTTCTAAAATAGGGGTCCGAATTTGTTCTTGTCTTCTGTTCCCACAACAAAAACTTATGGATTTGATTCCCTGGTTCTGTAAATGTAGTTTGCAAAAAAAACTAGCTAAACTAAACTAAACTAATGAAAACTTGCATGGCAAACCACAGTTGAAAAATATGCGCCACCACTGTATTTTGAGCGGTTTGAGCGGCAGGTTCATTGTAATATAATACTTTGAGCTTATTTTTATCATTCATTTTCATGTTTGCTTCCTTCTTTTGCAAAAGACAAATCGAAGGGTTACAAGTCGTATGTATGTATAATTTGCAGTAGTTCCGTTTATGTAGTTCAACCGAAGCGCACACTATTTGTCCCTTTAAAAATACATATTTTTTGTAATAAATACATATAAAAAATAAAATACAGAAAACCTGCTTTGAAAAGGCCTTTAAATTAAAAATTGTGTTAAAAACTTAAAGTTTGTTAATTAGAAGCTAAAAAAGTCGAAACCAACAACTTTCGAAAGCTGCAACGGGTTAAAATAAATTAAATAAACTAATATAAGTGGAAGAAAAGCTAGTAGAACCAAAAACGCAAAACAAAATAAAAGATAAGAAAATAAAGCAAGAATTTTGCTTCAATTTAATTAAAAAAGTGTAACTAAAAATGGAAATTGTTAAGTAGAAAATAAGTAAACTAGTAGAGTTCAATAAACGGCTATTAAAATAAAAACGTCAAAAAAGGGCTAAAGTAACTTTTACAGTTTAGTCAGTTCGTGTCGGTACTTTACATAAAGAAGCGAAAACTCTCAGCAATAACGAAACATCCAAAACCTTCACTTCACTATCGTACTGAGCTTTTTCAAATCGGCCGATCTTAGCCATATTGAAAGCTAGTATTAGGTTTGTATAGTAACTTCTCCAGTAAAAGATTACAGCGAGAGCGTAAAAGCTAAATGGAGCGTAAAATTGAGAAGAAGAGAAAACTAGCAGAAAAAGTTACTGAACACAAAACTAGTAAAAACTTGCAAGTGAACAGTTGTTGCACTGCTTTGAAATTCTAGTTGCGATCCCGTACGAGTCCGGACTAGTCAGAAGTAGTCAGAATCAGTCAGATTTTACTGGAAATCGATCCCGAACTCGGTTCCCTGACTATTGAGGGGACAAAAAAGAGAGTAAACAAAGGTCCTCTCTCTCTGTTACCAGTTTTAGTTGACAACCAAAATTTGGAGGCTATGTTGAAGTAGACAGAAGTTTCCGTTTATTACTAGAAAGCGATCCCATACTTTCCATTTCCATTTTGCTTTTGTTTACGCTTAACCTATTCAACAAATGGCAGTTTTGGACATTTATTCTTCTTCTTCTTCTTCGGCTAACTAATTTCTGCCAGTAAAAATTTCACTAGCAAGAATTTGCACCTCTCCCGTGTTATTACGCTCTCGATTCAGGGCTCTCTTGCAAATTTTATGGGTTATTATACACTTTTCCAGTAAAAATTTGCAGGTTCCTGCACAAATTAGTACTGACTATTTGTTACTATACAAACCTATCTATTATTTTACTCAAACCGCTCAGCTTTCCAGTTAGCTTTTCACATTTATCTATAGAATAAAAATAAATAGGAAATTCACCACGTCTTCTTTATCAATCAGCCGCTTATCAGAGATACATATGTACAACAAATAAATTCGTTCACACATACCCTTACAAACTCTTGCTACCCTGTGGGGAAAATCTCTAGTTCTGAACTGGTGAGCTTCTAGTACATTTAGACCCAGTGCTGGTTCGCGATAAATCTCTTTTGCATGCAAGCAACTGGCGAATTTAACATGGCGATGTCCTAGGAAGTGTCAATTGCCCCCCGCTGCATCCCTTTTTCGATAGTTCCGAACTAGACCCAAATTCTATAGTTCCGAACCAGTTCTAAAATCGACAGACGAAAGAAAAAAGTATCATGGTTTTTCAATCTTTTCGGTTCTTCCGTGTGCGATTTTACATTATTTTCAAAGAAACGTTTTTTCAATTTGAAATTAAATTTGTTTGAATGATTGTGAGAAATGTACGTTTACATACCTTTAGCTGTAGCTGAGTTTGCAGAGGTGCTCGCTGTTATTTCTTAGATTCCAGACTGTCCCAAGATGTTGAAATGTTAACACAAATTTTTGTTTTGTATTACCAAGCTATGAAAAAGCATCTGCAAAGCACAGAATAGAAGCGTATTTGAACGAAAAAGCCGCCGAACACATATCTATGTAAAGTAAACAAGCCCCCTGCTGCATCCCTTTTTCGATAGTTCCGAACTAGTTCTAAATTCGACAAATAAGATCTAGTTCGTTCTGCATCCCTTTTTCTATAGTTCTGAACCATTTCTAAATTCGTCACTTTAGAAAAAATTAATATTTTAAAAGTACCACTTTTCGCCGATTTTGGACTGGTGGGGATCTAGTTCATGTCGGACTAGTTCCTTTTTGGCGATAAAGACCTAGTACGGAACTAGAAATTTGATTCACTAGTCCGCGTTTTCCCTGCAGGGTACAACCTGCATTTATGTATAGTATATCCATGTATCTGTTGCTTACACCTTGATACGATTGCATTAGTGTTTGTATGAAGTTATTTGTTTATCTTCAAATTAGCAGTTCATCAAAGAAACGAAAGTAAAAAGAATCAGTAGGAAAAAAGCTTTGCTCAACGGATAAGCGACCAAATAGCTTTCCGAAATTGTAAGTAGTTGAGTAACACGTCGGGCACGGTGCACAACTCCCCCGCAGCCGAAAAAAAAATATATATAACATTATTTTAAAAGACGTTCTTGATTATCACTCCGCCCCTTGCTGATCAGCTCCGCGTTTCGGCGTGAAATTTAAAAATATTTTTTATACACACTGAGCAAGGGATTGATGGTGGAAATTTTCGCAAACATTTGTGCGGGGAATGTTTTTATTTTAAAGTGCACAAACTCACCACTTAATAAGCTTTTTATTGTGTCTTAAAAATTTTTGCAAAAGGTGCTAAGGTTAAAGAAAAGTGGTTAAAAAACACTTACTGAAGTTCATTGCTGAAAATTCAATTTCGCCGAGTTGAAAGCTGCGGTACATGCAAAAATCATTTTTTACACTCGGGTAATCGCATTCAACTCACCTAATTAACAGTAGGTGCAGCCATGAGATGTGGTGGAAATGAATCTCGCACAAACGTCATAGTTAAATGGTTCGTACATGTAAAAATTGTCCAGTAAATTGCAAGCAACTCTTCGTTAACTTAATTTCTGAGAATTCGCTCTCATAGAGAAAAATATCCAAAAAAAGTACGTGAACGCAAAACTAGTATCTAACAATTTGCAAGTTTCATGAACAGCTGATAAATTTGTTTTCTTATTTTTTATTTAAATTGGTTTATGGTAGAACCCCATAAATAGTTTCCTTATTAGCTTCAATTGCACCCAGCAACATGCGATCAGCTGAGCTCAGAAGAATATGCATATATTTTCGTAGAAATGTCCTCAATGTACAAGATAAAATATTCTGCGATCCAGAGCGAAAATCCATTCCAATATTCTCTTATTTGAAGGCACATTTAGAAAATACGTCAAAACCCTGCAAAAAATTGTGCGACTAATCTCTAAAGAGAGTATTCCGAGATTACCCTCAATCGAGTACAATTGGGCATTAATTAGTCGCAACTAGTCTCATACGGGTACTAATGGAGGTCAATTAGTCTCGACTCATCCCTTATGGGTATAATTGGAGATCAATTAGTCTCCAACTCATCTCTAACGGGTACTATTAACGATTTAATGATATGTACGCACTTAGTCAATGAAATGTCATGTGCATCGTTGGCACACAGAGAGAGTATTCGCCTAACAAAACTGATCACCCCAGTTCGAATCTCAGCTGGAGCAAATTTTTATTTTTATTTTTTTAAAGTGACTAGTCGCTTTTTATACCCATAAAGGTGAACAATTAGTCTCTTCATAGGACATGCTCGAACAAAAGCGAACAGTTCATCCCATATAAAGAGATCTAAAGTGGTATTAGTCGCATGCTCCTTTGCGATTGCTCCCGGAGTCATCCCGGATTAGTCCCATTTTTTGCAGGGAACTGTTTAAATCCTTTTGTAACTACTAGTCCGTATAACATTATATATGTGTATGTACCTAACGCTGGTATCTTTGTACACTTTTTTAGGTAGTATAATAATTTTTTGAATTTTTTTGGATTTCAAAAATGCCTACTGCGTTTTTTTTTTTCAAAATACTGCTTTATACAGTGTTCGTGGGAATACGTTTTAAAAATGCATGCATACATATATGTATGTATATACTGTTATGTCAAAGAAGGGACACGACATATTGACCAGTTTTAATTATTTTCCTTTTGTTTGCTTAATGTTCATTAATATTTTATTAAAGTCTAGTTAACTATATAATGCTTAACACTATATAAATCCGCATTTAAAATTTCGTAGAGTAATTAAAAAAAAATCACAACAGCAAACTTTGTATTTATAATTGTTTTATTATGAATTTTCATACGATAGACGATAAAAGCTTGCAAGCGTATCGTATGAAATCAGCTCTCGTATTATCCTTTCCATACACCGGATAGATGTGTGGTTGGTTTCTGTTCACTTTTTATTGTGAAGAAGCACTAACTATCGGATTTCATACGACAACATCGATTCGTAAAAGAGAATAGCAGAATGCAAGCGTTTATCGTGCATCGTACGAATTCATAATAGGGGAGTATATTTGTCCGAAAAAAGGCGCAGAATTATATATTACATATATATACCTGTAAAATGCTTAAAAAAGTGTCACTAGAAGTGATTCACTACCTTTAGTGAGGCTCTTCCTTGTAGTGAGTATATTTCGAGCGAGGTATCAAATCATCTTTTTTTGACAAATATTCTGATAGTTGGCTTTACTTAATTAAGGCCTTCTTAATTTAATGGCGTCTCCAGTTTTGCCAGATTGGTTCCACTTTTCAATATAGCGTTACTTGAAATGTTGCTTAAATTTTAACTATTTTATAAATAACTCATTCAGTCTTGAAGTTATTTTACTAAAATTTTTGCCATGCCTATTTTTAATATTACCTTAACTATTCTTTAAAATCATCAAAAGCTATTCCTCTCATATAACTAGTTTTTAATAGACGGTGTTTTGCGTTATAACTCCTCCAATTAACCAGGTACGAAATTTAGTACTATTTTTATTCATCATAAACACAAATTTAACAGTGAATATCATCGAAGTAAGTTGACTTTAATATATAACAGCCATACAACTGGGGGAGCTATATGTTAAAGCTGTCAACAGAGACGTGGGTGCCAAGGCGCGAATGTGCTGACTGTTTGTTTGTTGACAGGAGATACTTCGTCCAGACCCATTCGCTTTGCTTCCTTATCCAACTTGGAAAAGGCAGAACTGACTTCACGGACTTGGTTACCGATAATATCGATGTCATCGGCATAAGCCAGCAATTGCACGCTCTTGTACTAAATTGTTCCTGAGCGGTTGAGTTCTGCAGCTCTTATTATCTTCTCCAACATCAGATTAAAGAAGTCTCATGAAAGAGAGTCGCCCTGTTGAAACCCCGTTTGGTGGCGAACGGCTCGGAGAGGTCTTTCCCAATTCTGACGGTGCTGGTGGTATTGCTCAACGTCATTTTACACAGCCGTATCAGTTTGTCGGGGACGCCAAATTCAGACATAGCGGCGTATAGGCAACTCCTTTTAGTGCTGTCGAAAGTGGCTTTGATATTCTGCATAAAAGTTGATGCATGCACCGTATCAACTCCTCGTCACCGCACTTGAATAGCTCAGCTGAAAGGCTGTCAGCTCCAGCAGCTTTGTTGTTTTTCAGACGCGTTATTGCTATTCGTACCTCGTCATGGTCAGGCGGAGCAACATCGACACCGTCATCATCCACTAGGGGCTCGGGTTCTTCTTCTCCACAACTTTCCGTGCTTCTACCATTCAGTAGCGTGGAAAAGTGTTCCCTCCATAATTTAAGTACGTTCTGGACACCGGTAACTAGGTCGCCATTGTTGTTCTTACAGGAGTACGCCCTGGTCTTGAAACCTTCCGTAAGTCGCCTAACCCTCTGGTAAAATTTTTGGGCATTCTTTCTGTCGGCCAGCATTTCAATCTCTTTACACTCACGTATTTCGGCGCCTCTCTTCTTATTGCGGCAAATACGCTTTCCTCTTTAGATCCCTATAGCATTCCCACATAGCGCGCGTTCAAGCGTGGCCCTGTAGGCAGCCTCTTTGTTCTCTGCAGCTTCCTGACACTCCTCATCGTACCAGTTGTTCTTTCGGGCTCGCTGAAATCCCACTACTTTTTCGGCGGCGGTACTTAATGAGCGGGAAATGTAGTTCCACTGCTCGCATATGCCGGCTTGTTGAAGAGTGTTCTCTGAGAGCAGGTGTGAGAGTCGAGCAGCGAATGCATTGGCTGTCTGTTGTGATTGCAGCTTTTCGACGTTAAGCTTTCCTTGCATATTTGGGCTCACATTTTTTGCTGCACAGAGGCGGGTGCGAATCCTGGCTGCAACAAGATAGTGTTCCGAGTCGATGTTTCGGCCTCGGACATTTCGCCGTGGAGGCTGAATTTTCCGACGGTGGTTCCAAAGATCCCTTCCTAGGCCACCCAGGGATTGAAGTCGAAAAGCATGATTTTGATATCGTGGCGGGGACAGCGCTCGTACGTGCGCTCCAAGCGCTCATAGAAGAGATCCTTGGATACCTCATCCTACTCTTCCATCAGGGCATGGGCGCAGATGAGCGAGATGTTGAAGAATCTCGCTTTGATGCAGATCATGGCTAGATGCTCGTCCACTGGGGTGAACGACAGTACTCGGCGACGGAGTCTCTCTCCCACCACAAATCCAAAACCGAACTTGCGCTCCTTTACATGGCAGCTGTAGTATACGTCGCAAGGTCCCAGACATTGCTTGCCTTGCCCCGTCCAACGCATTTCTTGGATGGCGGTGATGCCAGCTTTTGTTCTTACGAGGACGTCAACCAGCCGGGCAGAGACACCTGCCCCATTAAGGGTCCGGACATTCCAGGTGCATGCCCACAAATCGTAGTCCTTTAAACGTTTGCCGTGGTCGTCATCATAAGGGGGGTCTCATCCGAGGCTTTGCCTTGCTTCTTCACTGGAAGTGGTTTTTACGTGGCGGGTCCCAAACCCAGCGCACAACCCATTGCTGGGACGGGGATGGTTTCGCAACCAAATACACGTTTATATGGCGAGCCGATTACTCCAAGACAGACGCCCGCTTGCAGCCGCGCCCACCGGTGAACATACGCTGCAGACTTCCGTGAGCCCTTAAACCGAATAGATCGGAGTGGCCCGTTGCCCAGAGTGCGCGAACGAGGACGCAAGAGTCGGGATTGAGTATAGCCGTGCAACTGTAACTACATACACAGCACAACGACTAACCCCATTGCACTCCTAACTTTAGAAGCTTAAATAAATTGCGCCGTAGACTTTAGAAGCTTAAATAAATGGCTAAAGGACTTGAAACTATTTTTTACCACTGTGAAAATCCAAAATATCACTTTTATGGTAGTTTGCGGACCCCTTAACATATTTTTAGTAATTTAAAGTTTACGACAGCAACAATACGATACTTACGACACCGTTGTGAATACCCCATGTATGTATGTTGCAAATGAAGATTCGTCTATGTTACGCACAGCGATCTAAAATTATTCCACATATTCGTATAGAAAAACTGTACATTCAGCTTATCTGGTTGTCATCAACTTAGTTATGTGACTACATCTTATCACATTGTGCAAATAGATCATACAAATTTCTGAAGACATATAAAAATCAAGCAACCACCCAACCGGCAAAATTAGAATGTGGGAACCCTTATTTCGGATATTTTGAAACGATTTTTTACTCTTTTTTTTATCTTGTATGGAATGGTCAGAGTTTCCAGACCGTCTGATTCAGCTTCCCTTAGAAGGGAAAGATTTACATGAAATAATAATGAACCAGTTTGAAGGCATTTATTTAGAAACGCTCCTCATATTGCCGACTGGGCAATCATCAATCACACAAACTAGATACATACTATTGTTTAGTCCATAGGCCTTCAAAGGATCTTCTGAGGGCTCTAAAATTTGATTACATATATTTCAGTAAATCCCGGTAATCAGTTTCGGCAAAGACATTTGACTCTCATGTAAACTTTTCCAAATCTTTTTTCTTATATTTTTAGTTATTTTTACAGATGAAAAGCAATTAGGAAAAAACTTGCGATTCATTGATGTTTTTCATCAGATCTTTGACAAATACTGTTCGTTCGTTACGAAACTTTTACCAAACTAAAGGTAATTTTTAAGGACATTAGAAGGCAGACGTTGGCGGTCACAAGGCCGGACAAGTAAATACTATTATTTTGCTAAAAAACGAATATCACAATAGTCCGCATTTCAGATGATTCAAAAGAATATACATAATATCAAAAGCGAATCATGAAAACATGATTTAAAATTTCGGAACATGCTTTCTTCTTTCATGGCTACTAGTTTTTTAATTTAAGATTGGTCCAGAAAGATACTTTTTGTGCGCTTTTTTTGCGCGCGTTCATTTCCGCATATTTCATGGTAATATTAAACCGCATACAATTTTAACTAACGAAATTACCACACAAACAATCGTTAACTCTCCCCGCGCGTTTACACAGCTTTCACATAATGCGCCAACAGATGCAAGTAGTCGAATTTCCATCAAACGGCAAATGCAACAACCTGCTGGCCGGCATCAGCGCCGTAGTCGGAGTCATCGGCGGCGTATGCTTGCTAACATCGGCCACGAAGGCACTGATTGAGTAAGTACCAGACATAATTACATACATACATTTGTATGTACAAATATGTAGTATGCTTTATACGTATGTATGTATGTATGTATGTATGCACATTTCCCATACCCATGCCTATTACGGGTTGTAATCCTCCCTCTAAAATTCGTAGACTTTAGTTATTGAGTAAAAGCATAGACAGACGGCAACGTTGATCCGGATTAACGTCGCAGTTGATTTGAACAAAATTGTGCCTTGACAGACGGCAGTAGGTTCGAGTCCCATAGCCAGTGGAATATTCATTAAATTTTTATTATTCATTCAATTATAACTTCTTTATTTTTTTATGTTGTTTTTAGCTAGTTGTTTTTCACTTCTTTAGTAAAATTAAACGTTAAAAATTTAAATCAACTAATAGGAAAATTAAAAATGTAAAATAAAGTGAAACAAACGAAAATAAAATAAAGTAAAATTAATGCCGAATTTCCACTGGGCATTGAAATGACAAAAAAATATATGCCATTTAAAAAAAATGCCATGTGGAAATGAACTCAATGACTATTTTTTTAACGTAATGGCACGATTATTTTTTAATGCCCAACTTTGTCATTTGTCATTTTTGCCATTTAATGCCTAGTGGAAATCCAACATAAATCAAATAAAATTTAAAAAATTGAGGAAAAAAAAACAATTTTTTTTGGCAGTCGCTCCAACCGAGGATCGAACTTGAGACCTGCAGGCTTGTGGCACTCGGGTACGGTGAACGAAGAAATCGGCTGCTTTGTTTGTGCATTTGTTTGCTCAGCTAGCGTAGAACACAAACAAAATGCAAAACTAGCATGGATGTCCACCTTGTCGTCGGTAATGCAGTCGCCGTATTAATTCAAACAAGTTCTTATTCAATTTAAATTGGATTCCTATCTGAATCAGGGCCGGTTGTTGAATGTCTGATTAGCACAAATCGGAGGTGGAAGCTCCGGTTAAAAATAACGACTGCTTTATCGATCACATGTTATATGCATGATTTCGAAAACGTCGATAAAGATGTTTAACCGGGAAGTAGTGATAACCAGACATTGAACATCCGGCGCTTATTTAGTATGGTGACTGCATTGCCGATGATGTATTCTACGCTCTCTGAGTTTTGGTTAGTGTTGTCATCAAAAATTCACTTTATCCGAGTTAAGTTTAGGAATTAACTCTAGGACTTACAGCCCCATTCCCACGCCAATGACAAAACTCATCTTTACTACTGCGCTTAAAACTATGCCGCAAATTGATTTTAAGCGCTTTAGTGTTGACAACTGTCGTTTTTTTTGTTATAACCTACTGAGTACGCGACAACGGCGAAACAATATTTATATTATGGTTGTTCACGCTTGCCTGGTTATCAGCTTATCAGCTTATGGTTTCTGTAGTGTATGTTATTGTTGTACATCAACGTCATTGTACATACGATGAATTTTGTCAATGATGTGGGAATAGGGCTGTTAATCCACATCAACTGCAGTTAATTCCCGAGATAATTCCGAATTAACGAGTTGATGCGGATCAGCGCTGCCGTCTGTCTTTGCTGTAAGATGATGCAATAAGCTCTTCTTGCCTAAGTACCTCCGAATATACTCACACGTGATAAAATCGTATAACACACCAGATTATTAGGAAGATAAATTCGAGCAAAAAGGAGCTAAAACATTCTTTTCACATAGCCGCTTTTTCAGGAATACTGAGATTTTTGTTTTATCGATTTACATTTGAACTCGTCCAAGAAAACGTTTTGCGTTTTGGAGTAACTGTGAAAATCCATAACTTTCAAACTCTTTGAAATTTCATCATGGAAACGATGACATTAAAATGAACATAAAATTAAAAATCGAGTTAATTTCAAAAAATATTTTGTATGAAAATTTATTAAGATGCCAGCAAATACCCGGCCTGCCTCGCTACGCCTTAAAAGTGTTTTTTTTTTGTTGTTATTCTACTGTTCTACTATCGCAGACTAAATCAATCTAAATCAAGGGTTTTCCAAATACTTCTTTTGATACTCCTATTGTAAAATTTAGCTTATCTCAATTGACCTAAATTAATTTTGTATATAGGCGGCAACCTTCCTCAAAAATATATTCGGCAATAAACTTTCCTAAATCTCTTTAGTTTGGTACCCATATTGAAATAAGTTTTTAATTGCTCTTATACATATATCAATTAAACTTAATTAAAATTTTCAAACAGGTGGTAACTCTACCATTTTTTCTTTCGATATTTTAATTTGGGCCTCTAGCAATACATCAGTGAAAACTGCATTCAATTTAATGCATTAGTTTTCGAGTGATGCGCGTGCAAACATACAGACAGACCAAACAAAATTCTAAAAATTGTTGATTTGGCTGTTGAAGTTCTAATAAAGAGCCCCCATATTAATTTTTCTATAATATTTATAATGTATAAACATCGGCGTGTTACAATTTTATTATATGTATAGATTAAGTAGATAAGATTTCTTGATTTTTTATTTTTCCAACAATGCCTTATTTTTACAAATTTAAGGAATTTCGTTCTATCCATCAATACTATCGGCTTATATGGTTGGTCAATCTGTCAACAGTTTTCCACCTGTCATTAAATTAACTTTCCACACATACATACGTACGCAATTATGTACATACATATATGTACATATATTCATGTATTGTAACTACATATCGTCGTTTAAAGTGCAAAACCGCGTAACTGACATTTGCTGCCAAAAATTGGATTTGCTTACATAAGCCAAGAGCTTATCCATTCGTCCTGAAAAATAGTAGCCAGAAATGCGAATGCTTTATTAAAAAGAGAACCATTTTGAAATATGACTGTTTTTACTCCCCAGAAAATAATTTATGCAACCTCACATAGGTGGTTTTGCATTTTACGACGATATGTACATATGTATGTATTATACAACTACTATTATATATGTATGTATGTACTGCAGTATGTTTGTCTATTTAATGTGGAAGCTCGTTTGTTGTTTTGGACTTACCATGACATATAGATATGTATGTGCATATGGATGTATGTATGCACATACTTACATATATATGTACATAATGTTATCTCATAGCAGTTATTGTGAATGTGAATTGACCAATTAGTTGAAAGGAAATCACAAAATGTTTTGAAGCTTCTTTAATCCTCATTTCCCACTCCATTCGTCGCAGGCACGTGTTTAATAAAAAAAAACTCACATCCATTCAAGCTTGAAAATCAGAGGCTCACCTATATTCGATTCGAAATCGCCTTATACCCAGCCAGCAATTTCAATCATGAACGACTTTATGGCGATAACTAAACGCGAAAGATCTCTTTTGCTATTCTTATTTAACGTAGTTATCTGAGAAAAAAGTTACTCTACGCCGAGCACGTTCTCACATAACATTTATTTGTGTACCAAAAAAGATTAATTTTTGCAGTGTATAGTGGGCTCACCTTATTGAATCATGGAAAAGAATACACAACATATAAAAATGGACGATCTGTGAAATCAGCTTTCGTCCGAATTTTTATAATACATATTTTAATCTTGATTTATTTAATTTATTACTTAAATACTTGATTGAAGTATTGTTTTTCAAAAAACCATAAATCTTCTAAAAGAATATTCGATACTAACTTTCCTGGAATTTTTTTTTTGTTTAATTCAATGGAGATGGGAATATTTACTGTAGTAATAAGTAGCCAGTTAACCCTTCTAATTCCTAAGTATATAAATATACCTATGCAGGGTTAATTTGAATATTAGTCGTTAACGTAAGTTTGTCTATTATCCTTTAAAGCTGGGTTATGCAAGACTTAGACTTGACTTGACTTACCTAGAAACTTGGAAACGATTACTAAGCGTGTCACCGATTACTTTTTCTCCTTGTTTTGATTCTCAGGTCTTGTATTTGTACGCGTAAAATTGTAATTTTTTATTTTTTTTTTTTTAAATAAATAAAAATTACAAATAAAATAAATATATTTACGCGTTCAAATTGTGTTTTTTTTAACTTTATTTTCTGTCTTTATTTGAAAGTTTGTTTTTCGATTGCCCGATGAATTACATTTATACAAAAAATTATATTTGTTTGGCATATTTGCGGGGATTTGGTTAAAAAATTAAATGATTCTCTCACGGCCCTCTTTGCACTTAGAAATTTATCTATAGTTCTCCAAGTTTCTAAGTCAAGTTGTTTTTTTTTTTTTTTGAGTAACTACATACACGCGCTGCTCATTTGCCAGATTTACAATTTTCAAGTCAAGTCAAGTCTAAGGGCCGGTTTCTCTATCTCCGGTTAACACTAATCCCCCGGTAAACATCGTTACCGACCTTATCGACTCCCTGTTATATGCATGGAGTTGGAACGTCGATAACAATGTTTAACCGGGGAGTTAGTGTTAACCAGAGATGGAGAAACCGGCCCTAAGTCTTGCATAACTGAGCTTGTATTCTCTATCATCATTCTAAACCAATATAATATATTCATTGTAAATACAAAAATTTCTCTAAATCTCACCATTTTAATATTAAATAAATTCTCGAAACCATCAACCAACGATTCGATTATCTTGTGAACGCTTTTCCAAATGTTGCCTTGGTTTGTTTGGTTTCATGTCAACGCAAACCGACAAGTCTTTTGCTTTGTTCACACTTGTCCCGGTGGTGTGGTGTGCTTGTGTCTTTGTCGCACTTAGTGTACATATGTATGTATGTGCCTTGGTGAAAGCTTTGTTTTCTTGTACAAATTATAAAACACACGGTTACTTTTACGGCTTCCGCCTTAAAAAAACAAAGCCGGGCTGTAATGGTTTTGCGTTTTGTTTATTAAATATTGCCCGTTCCAAATGCGTTGAGCGCAAAAATAAACAATAATCAACCAATCAATTGACAGTGCAACTATGTATGTATGACTTTGTGATAAGTGGCGATAGAATGAAAAAATAATTTGTGTTTTTTACGAATATTATATAATAAAATTCCGGCAAACAATCGCTAACAAAAATGCATA